GGCTAAAATCTTCCCTCCTGCTGAGACTCAGAGAATACCATGTTGGCCAAGATCTCTAAAAAAAATCAAACCTGGCAATATTGAGTTACCTTCCTCTTACCATAAAGTATTTCCTCACTTCCTCCTTACTGTGAACTTTCTTAAGAAGCGAGTCCAGGAGGAAGCAGTGACATGAATTTATTAACTTGACTCAGACTTCTAAAGAGAACACAAACTAAGCGCCCCATTCAGAGAGTGACAGGGAAACCCCGTGGCATAATTAGTTACCTACGAGTTTCCAAATAGGATTTGGAAAGAGACATACAAGCTAGGTAGCCGGCATGGCACATGGTTTCCCTGAAGCCAGCATTGCCCTGGCCAAGGAAGCTTTGCAGAACAGATGCGATTTCAGCTGGGACTTGCAGCCAAGTGGGATGTGGCCTTTTGGGGAGAAGGGAAAGGATATTCCAAGGCCAGGGACAGAGCATGGTCAAAGGTATGGAGATGAGGAGGAGGGGACCAGACCAGAGGGTCAGGTTGGAAAGCGAATTGGGGTCAACTTGCAAAGGGGCTGATATGCCAGGTAAAAAACCAGGAGCACGGTTTAGTTCTGTTGGATCATTTCAGGTGGAAGGGCAGTGGGAATGTTGGAGAAAACACTTACTGGTGTCGTTACATTGAATCTGTTCATCTATAAGAATAAAACTTTATTTCATAAAGTTATTGTATGGCTCAAAATAGGTATGAAGAATTGAGAAAAAGAATTTTAGATTTAAAAGGGCTGAGAAATGAAAAAGCACCTGCCAAAGGAGAGTGGCAGAGTTACCAACATGGAACTTTAAGATGGCAGATATTCTCATTGACAGGACTGTCTTCATAAGGAAATGTAGGTTCAGCAAGTGACACATTGAGGCAACTCTTCTCATTATTAGCTGTGATCTAAATAATGACTTATACTAACATCCATTGAGCAACTGCAATACACACCAGCAACTGTTATACATGCTTGTCACAACCAGTAGTGGGTCTATTATTCCTGCTGTACAGGTCAGAAATCTGGTGAGAGAGGTTCAGTTACTTGGCCATGGTGATGTACCTGACATAGGGCAGAGCCCGGATTTAAGTTTAGTCAGTCTGGCATTTGGGCCCTTGAATTGAACCCCTAGGGTGAAATAACCGAGCACTTTAATCACGGGCTCCTGGGATCCCAGAGGGGCGGATGCTTGGCCCACAGTGGTACAAGAGATGTGGACTGTGGGACCCCATGCTCTCCCATCCTGCTTGCATGCAGCCGGCGTTCAGGTATTGCTGGCCCAGGAAGACCATCGCCGTGTACTGCAGCAGGGAGGTGGGCCAGTTCTGTTCCCACTGAGGACCCAGCAACGACAGTGATGCAAGCTTGTTGATGGAGTATTTTTAGTTATTGTACATCACAAAACTTAAGAGCACAGGTTAATATTTATCTTAAGGGAAAAGAGTTTCCTGTAGAAGGTTTTAGAATTAGGAACTGCTGCATGCAGATTCACTCAGGAATGCATATGTGTGCAATTCATAGAGGTAGGCTGAGAGAAACACTGGGAGCTGAGTGCAGACGGCCCCAGGGAATGATGTCGAGATAATGCGGCCCTGGGCAGGAAGAGGCACTTTCTGGAAGGCACTCTGTCTTCTGTTTCTTAGGACAAAACCTGGATCTCTGCATGCCTCAACCACTCTACACCAGCCTGAAGGGAAAGGGCAGCTTCTGGCAGGAGCCAAGGCGAGATGGTTCTTAGGGGATATAGCAGACCAGGTTGTCCTGAGAGAATGCAGCCTGCACCTTGCGAGGTGGGATCTGATAGAGCAGGGCACAGGGGACAGGCTGCGCCTGCAGAAGGTCCTCAAGTCTTGCATGGATGCTTAGCCCAGTAACATGAGGATAGTATCCACATTAAGAGGGACAGTTTCAGGTGTCACATGTCTCTGTCAACGGATCAGTCTTAAACCGTAGCTATTGCATTTTTAAAAGTGCCATAAATATTAACTGTAGGAAAAGTGGAATTCTGCGGTGCCTTGGGTCCATGTGCATGTCTTAGCCAGCTTTTCCATGTCTGTCCAGGGACGCTGATGTGCTCTTTCCTCCATCTGGGGACTCAATGACCAGAGTGCAGGCTGTGGTGACATCTAGTGGCTTCGCTCTCATGTTGACTTTGGAGATTTCTCCCTCAGTTTTTCTTAAAGGTCAGCCCCAAAAGGCAAATTTCCTAGAAATTGTATTTCTTTTCCTTCTCTTGTCACTGATAACTTGCCACCCCTCTGTGCGCAATGCCTCCTCCCTGGGCAGGGCTGTGGTAGTTACCATCTTCCCAGAGGGAGGCCAGGGATCTCCTCCCGTCTCCCCGGTGCCTGCCCCATCCAGACAGTGAGTCCTGGGTCACGGAAGACATTCTGCAGCTTGTCCCCAAACAAGCAGTCCTCTCAGAGGTGGCTCGCCTGCACAGGGGGACAGACGTCACTTCTGAAAAGGTGTTTTTCACCTACTACATAACAATCAAAACTTACTTTCTTTCTTTTTGGGACAGTTTCACTCTTGTTGCCGAGGCTGGAGTGCAATGGCACAATCTTGGCTCACTGCAACCTCCACCCTCCACCTCCCAGGTTCAAGGTTCTCCTGTCTCAGCCTCCTATCTGGGATTACAGACAGGCACCACCACGCCTGGCTAATTTTTGTATGTTTAGTAGAGATGGGGTTTCACCATGGTGGCCAGGCTGGTCTCTAACTCATGATCTCAGGTGATCCACCCACCTCAGCCTCCAAGTGCTGGGATTACAGGCATGAGCCACCTCGCCCAGCCAAAACTTACTTTTTTATTCTTTTAATTGTGGCAAAATACACAGAACATCACACTTACCTTAACCACTGTTAAGTGTACTGTTCAGTAGTAAGTGCATTCAGATTGCTGTGCAACCAATCCCCAGAGCTTTTGCTTCTTGAAAATCTGAAATACTGCCCCCATCAAACCCATTTATGCCTAGTATTCCATTAGTGGAACGCTAAGCATGTGGGAGTTACAAACATCCTACTGCTCAAGATCATCGCCAAGGTCTGATTGTAAAAATTCAAAAAATTGCAACCTCAGGAATGAATGGGTTATAGGACCCATTCTCACTCCCATTCCCCTCTCATCCCAGCCCCTGGCAACCACTCTTCTACTTTCTGTCTCCATGAATGTGACTTCCCTAAGTATCCCACATGTGTGAGATCACGCAGTATTTGTCCTTTTGTGACCGATTTGTCATTTCACTTAGCATCATGTTCTCAAGATTCATCCATGTTGTAGCATGAGTCAGAATTCCTTTCCTTTCTAATAAAGGAATAAAATTCCATTGTATGCACAGACCACATTTTGTTCACCCCTGCACATGTTGATAGATGCCTGGCTTGCTCCCACCTTTTGGTTATGGTGAGTAATTCTTCAATGAGGGTGGATGTACAAATGTGTCTTTGAGACCTTACTTTCAATTCTTTTGGGTATATATCCAAAAGTACAACTGCTGAATCATATGGTAATTCTACTTTTAATATTTTGAGGAGGTGCCATGCTGTTTTCCATACAAAATTTATTCGTAATGCATTTCTTCCACAATCAGCATTCTAACAGTGATAACATGAATAAAATCTCCATCTCTTCTTAAATTAGGCTGATTACTGTTTTGGGTGGATAGGGCTTCTAATGGTTTGTTCAATTTTATTCAAAGTCTAAACAAAGGCAATGCTGAGCCACATTCATTTAGGTACAAAATACGTTCTAGAAAGTTGCGAGAATTTGGTCGTTTCTGGATTTTTTTTAATGGACACACACACACATCTCCTCAAGGCTATCTGCTTTGAAAGCAAAGAGTAACACAGACCTGACCAGGATTTTGCCTGGGCTGGTTCAGTGGAAATAACTTTTGCATCAGGAGGACTTGAGCTCAAAGCTTGGCTTAGCTCCGTGCCAGGTATGTGACTGGGCAAGTTACGGAACTTCTCTGACCTTCAGTAATAACATTTACCTTGCAGGGCTGTGCCGTGCCTGGAGCCCACAGATGGGGTAATGACGGTCATCACTAGTGTTTCAGATGTCTTTTTGAAGCTGGGGCGTGTGCGTGGAAAGAATGGAGAACATGCCTCTTCCTGAATGATGATGATGTCCATGTGGATTGTGGGCTTTGCTGTTTATCATGAGTTCACATGTGTAGACATTAACTCAAATCAAAGCAGTTTGTCCTCTATTTCATTTGTCAAAATAACCCATAAAACACAGGTGATTTTCCCCTCAGATTTCTGAAAATACTTTAAGCTAAAAATACAAAAGACAGGGCAGCCCTCTGCCCTCAACTCCCAGTGTATACCCAGTTTGGGTTCTCAAGGATGGAGAGGACTTGGACATTTGAGCAAGCTGCCCTGGAGTCCCCGTGAGAGGCAGTGCCTACCCCAGGGGACCCACGATACTCAGGGGTGGTGGGCTCAGCTGAGAACTAATCCCACAGAAACCAGGGCATTTAGTCCCGCTTTGAGAGCACTCTATGCTCGTCTCACCTTCATTCCTTTTTTTTTTTTGAGACAGAGTCTCCCTCTATCACCCAGGCTGTGCAATCTCCGACTCCCAGGTTCAAGCGACTCTCCTGTCTCAGCTTCCCAAGTAGCTGGGACTACAGGCACGCACCACCACACCCGGCTAATTTTTGTATTTTTAGTGGAGATAGGGTTTCACCATGTTGGCCAGGTTGGTCTTGAACTCCTGACCTCAGGTGATCCACCCACCTCTGCCTCCCAGAGAGCTGGGATTGTAGGCGTGAGCCACTGTGCCCTACCTCTCCTTCACACGTTATTATCTTGCATCAGCAATAATCCTATTCCCAGATGTTCTAGGAAGTAAACTTCCATCAGGGACAGCACACGAGGTCGCCCCTCACAAAGGCCATAGTCATGACTGTCTTCCAAGTGTCTCAGTGTTCACATTTTTAAAATTCCTTGAACTAAAACAAAATGCGCAAAGAGATCACCAAATCAAATAACTTTAGTTTGGTTCCAGGTTCCAGGAAAACACACACACACACACACAGATACTTCAGCAAAAGAGAACTGTTTGTTCTGGTTTTGGTTCCGAGTTAGTTGGTGTTTTAGGACTTTCTAATCAAGGCTAAGATCCATGTTTTCACATCCTACACTCAGCATAACTCCAGCTTCGACTTCGGTTTCAGTAACAGAGACACCGTGGGCAGGCTCTTCTTCAGGGCCATCGCGAGAACAGCCCTCCTGCGCCCTGTTCAGGATACTTACCAACCGGAAGCTGGCCCAGGAAACCGTGCAGAGACTAATATTCTGTTTCTGCCTCATGAATAAATGGATGATGATTTGGGGTCAGAGCTGGAAACACAAAGACAGCGATAGAAACATATTCTTTCTAAGATAAAGCTGGGCATAAATAGATTGTTATTTTAATGTTTTATTGGCACTTTAAAAATGCCGTATGTCATTTTTAAAAGGCAAATGTGGAAGGTTCTCTTATTTCTCAGGCAAGATGAAGCCAAGTGTGGAGTCGAGTTTTCTGCAGGGCTCCTTTCTGTCTCTCATCTTTTACTCAAAAGCATACATCTGTCTTCTCAGGGCCTCTCCCATGTGTGCCCAGTTTTTGTCTCACTTCTCTCACCCTCACCCCCTTCCACTCCCACACCCTTACCTGTCCCCCAGTCTGAGCACTTCACTCTCCTGTTGAAAAGCAGCTCGCCACTGCCTTCAGGATCAACGGAATCTCTACGCAGACATAAAAGGCAAAAAGGCAGCCATATGTTCCGGTCCAGCCAGGCCGGGGGGCCCTCCCACCTCGCCCCCGGCCTGTGGTCCCTGCAATCTGACGTGCTCCCCGTCCCCAGATCTTCTGTGTCTGTGCCCTTTCTCTGCCTGAAATTCCCCTCCTCCCCCAGCTCACTGCCACCCACACAGGGAGCACCCACACAAGCACTCTGTCCTGACTCTTTCCCACCCGTCAGTCCTTGGGCCTCCTTCTGGTGAACATCCCGACACCCAGAGCCTCTCTGCCACACCGGTGATCACGGTCATCTGAGTTGGGCAGGGCTCCCTCGGGCAAGGACCTCCTGCAGTCTGTTTCTCTGTCACCGGATGTGGTGTGAGACGAATTGATAGGTGTTCATGTTTTCTGTTTCTCTTTCTTGCAGGCAATACCTAAGGGAAATCCCTTTGTTTTCGAGAAGCGTCTCTCACACACAGACACGTGCATACATGCACATCTGTCTAACCTGTTGCTCCAAAATGCAGCAAGAGAAAAGCAGCCTAGTCCTCATTGATTTCAGCAGTTAGGTGGTCCTGGGGCATGAATGTGGGTGCACCAGGGTGCCTCCGCCCACCTTCATTCCTTGTTTGCCCTGCAGATTTGCAAGGGGCCCCAATGCTGTGGGGTCCAAGCCCTCCTATCCTGCCTCTGACTGTCTCGTGTGGTCTGGCTCCACAGGACTTGTCCTACAAGGACCGGCACTGGCATGAAGCCTGTTTCCACTGCTCGCAGTGCAGAAACTCACTGGTGGACAAGCCCTTTGCTGCCAAGGAGGACCAGCTGCTCTGTACAGACTGCTATTCCAATGAGTACTCATCCAAGTGCCAGGAATGCAAGAAGACCATCATGCCAGGTCAGGAGACACACCTTTCTCATGCGTGAGCCAGTCTAGCTTCAGGCCTTGTGCACGTTCCTCTGACCCCCTGTTCACATTGACTTGGTTCCAGACACTCGTGTTGACTTTCCATTTTTACCTTGAATTACAGAGGAGTATTTAGAGTCCTTACAAAGCAGGCACATAACGGGTTCTATCATGGGCAGTAACGGGATCTTTTTCCTATGCACATGGGGCAGTGTTATGCATTCGAATTGTTAAGAGTAAGTGAATGGTGGGCATTCCCCTTAAAAATACATCTCCTGCATCAGCCCCCACTTTCCCACCACCATAGATGGTCTCTCTTTTCTTTGCTTCTACCTGCTGAATGTGTACTCATTCAGTTATTTCACCAAGTGTGCATGGTGCTCTTGCGTGCCAGGCACTGGGCTCAAGCCGAGCATCCATGGGGTGTGAGCCGAGGTGCACCTGGTCCTCTGCCCTTGTAGGGTTGGTGTTCTAGATGGACAGTCAAAAAGGGCACAGCCGCAACTGGGCCAGGTGCTGAGGACGGCAATAAAGGTGCCTTGTGTGTTGATAGGACTGTGTCCCTCATGGGGGGTGTGTGTGTGTGTGTGTGTGTGTGTGTGTGTGTGTGTGTGGTGTGTGGCGGGGGGGAGTTATTTGTTTTTTTGTTTTGTCTTTTATGTGGGAGGGCAGAATCTTTTATTTTGAAAAGCAAAGGGGACAAAAAGATATGGAATTTCAAAATACAGAAAGAAGTTGGGCATCGTGGCTCATGCCTGTAATCCCAGTACTTTGGGAGGCTGAGGTGGGTGGATCACTTGAGGTCAGGAGTTTGAGATCAGCCTGGCCAACATGGTTCAGTGGTGCAATCTTGACTCACTGCAACGTCTGCCTCCCAGGTTCAAGAGATTCTTCTGCCATAGCCTCCTAAGTGGCTGAGACTACAGGTGTGCGCCACCACACCCGGCTAATTTTTGTACTTTTAGTAGAGACAAGGTTTCATCGTGTTGGTTTGCTTTGTTTTTGATAATAAAGAAATACTGAAGAGACTGACATATAGGAAATAGTTTTAAAAGATATGTAGGATGCCAGGTGTGGTGGCTCACCCCTGTAATTGAAGCACTTTGCAAGGCTAAGGAGGGCGGATCATGAGGTCAGGAGTTTGAGACCAGCCAGGCCAGCATGGTGAAATCCCATCTCTACTAAAAATACAAAAATTAGCTGGACATGGCAATGTGCACCTGTAGTCCCAGCTACTCGGGGGGCTGAGGCAGGAAAATTGCATGAACCCGGGAGGTGGATGAGGTTGTAGGGAGCTGAGATTGTGCCACTGCATTCCAACCTGGGTGACAGAGTGAGACTCCATCTTGGAGGGAAAAAAAAAAAAAAAGACATGTAGGATAAGGAATCATCATTTTTAAAAAGGCAAGGAGGTTATTTGACCTTCAGTAAGATGGTTTCTTACTGCTACTACATTTCTCTGGTTAATACAACTTAAAAACAACTGTGACACACTATGACAGGGAAGAAAAATGCCCAGGCTGACACAACCCCAGCCCTGTTGGCAGCTGTAAGGGAAGACAGGTGGCGGGGCTACATGGTGACTTTAGATGAGGCAGCTCCAGGCAGGAAGGCCTTGTCCAAGATCACATGGGTCCTGCAGAGGCTGGAAACTCGGGCCCCAGTGCTGTGCGACACTGCGAATGAGAACCGAAGCCTGTAGAAAGCCAGGCTGACCTGTGTCCTGCCCCACAGGGAGTCACTGCAGAGACACAGCACTCTCAGTAACAACAAGAACCACAACATGAATTGAAAAACAAATTAAACCCTTACTAGTTTCCTGAACAAGGGCCCAAGGAAGCTTCCACTGGGGAGTCTAGGGGCTATTTAAGACTTTAACTGTTAGCACCAACCATGACATAAAAAATATGCATATTTCCCGGATTTTGAATTTTTCACCTGTCTTGACTTTCTGTGTTTGTTAGGTTCTCCAGAGAAACAGAATCAATTGCAGAAATATATACACATAGATACGTATATATGGGGGGGGAGAGAGAGAGAGAAAGATGAGAGAAAGATGAGAGAGACAGAGAGAGAAAGATGAGAGAGAGAGAAAGATGAGAGAGAGAGAGAAAGATGAGAGAGAGAGAGAGAGAAAGATGAGACAGAGAGAGAGAGAGAGAGAGAGAGAGAAGGATTTATTTCAAGGGATTGGCTCATGAGATTGTGGAGGCGGTAAGTCTGGAATCTGTAGAACAGCCCAGCAGGCTGGAGGCTCAGGGAAGAGATGATACTGCAGTTCCAAATGGGAGCGTTTGAATTCCATAGGGCAGCAGGCTGGAAACTCAGCCAGGGTGTGTCTATTGCAGTCTTGAGAAGAATGAGTTGCCCTTAGGGAAACCTTAGTCTTTGCTTCTAAGGCCTACCACTGATTAGATGAAGCCTGGCCCTGATACGTGGGTAATGTGCTGCACTCAAAGCTTACTGACTTAGACGTTAATCACATCTAAAAAACGCCTTCACGGCAACAAATAAACCTGTTTTTTTGACCAAACAACTGGGTACCAGAGCCCAGCCACACTGACACATAAAATTAACCATCACACCTTCTCTTTCTTGTGGTGTTTACTGGGGAGGGAAAGAAAGGAAAAACATGATCAGATAAGAAGTAAAAGCCCAATGTTCAGTGAGGGGTAACCCATACTGAGTATCTGAGAATTAACTGGCCAGCAGTCTCTTCTACTAAGGAATGAGGGAAGCTGGAATTCAGGCTCTGTGGTAAGAAATGCTGTGTAGTAATAATAGCAACACAGCCACAGCTACTGGCCCCTAAGCACACACAGAGGGGTCGGACACTGCTGCTTTACCGAATCCCATTTAATCTTCAGTGTCCCCTGGGTTGGATGGCTTCATCCCCATTTTACAGGTGCCTCCGCCAGAAGAAATGGACTGAGCACCAAAAGCAGGGTGTCTAGAAGAATCCTGGTGTATGCAAAACAAACAAACCACCACCAACAAAACGCTGAATCAAAGCACTTGCCTGCCTGGGTTTGATTTTTAAAAGTGTTCGAACCCATTTAAGATGAATATGGGTTACAGCGTCAGTGCACACAGCTTTTGCAGTGAATTTACATTTAGAGGACGAGTGAAAAAACTCAACCCGCCAGCGCCACACCCCTACACAAGTCAGTGTCCTGATGACTAATCAGGAAACTGGAGTACCATCAGAAACCCCAGTGCTGGGGTTTACCAGCTCTCGCGCCCCTATTAGCAGACGTTGCTTACAGAGGCACCACAGCCTCTGCGCATGCGCAGACTCCAGTAGCGATAGTGTCTCCAACCCTGCAACCAAATTTCTGGCTCCTCATTTGCTTTTTTTTTTTTTTTTTTTTTTTTTTTTTTTTTTTTTTTTGAGACAAGATCTCGCTCTTTCGCTCAGGTGGGAGAGCGGTGGTACGATCACTGCTCACTATGGCCCTGACCTCTCGGGCTCGAATGATCCTCCCACCTCAGCCTCCTACGTACCTGGGACCTCAGGCACACACCACCACACCCAGCTTAATTTGTTGTTTTTTTATGTTTTTTGGTAGAGATAGGGACTCCCTATGTTGCCCAGGCTGGTCGCCAACTCCTGGGCCCAAGAGATCTCCCGCCTTAGCCTCCCAAAGTGCTCGGATTACAGGGCTGAGGCACCGCAGCCAGCCTAATTTGACTATTTGAATCCGATTAAGACATCCCTTCCTTAAGACTGCGCTTCGGTCTGCGGGAGACTCGGTTCAGAGTGTGCGATTCAGTGCGGAGAAGGAACGCCCCTGCCACCTGCCGGCGTTGCTGCATATGACCACGCAGGCCTGCGGCCAAGGCTGCCACCTTGCCTGAGATGTGCACGCGCCACCTCCCTGAGGCTCCAGGTGCCCCGTGCATTCCCTGCACGTAGAGTTGCTCTCGAACTGGTGTTATCTGATAAGACTTATTTCAGAACTCGCCAAGAATGTCACGAGAGTCATAATTGCCCCATATTCATTGGCAAAATCCTTTGGCTTCTGGGCTGCTTGATCAGAATGAAGGTCAGAGATCCAAAGAGCAAGTGACAAAAGTATGCATGGAGGTGGAAGAATATCTTTGTGAAGTGTGTATCAAAGTCCTTCCACTATTTTTACTTGAATTTCCATTGCTTCACGTAATGTTCGTTTTAGGATTCATCACCCCACAATCAAATTCCATAGATTGTACAGTTTAGTTTTCAATTTTAAGATCACTGCGTGTCATCAACCCAAATTCCCTCTCACACATTGCCCCCCACCACACACCCCGCTTATTTTATATAATCTCAAATGTCTGGTCTTGGAAGGACAGGAAGCTGAGAAAATGATCCTAAATAACAATCGTGATAATTCTCAGCACATTCCTAATTACTGGAGGACAGACATTTCCTGACCAGCTTTCTAGCCAGCTAAAATAAAACCCCTAGCTTTGTCCTTGGGACCATGAGATTTTGGGGCTGAGAGCTACGAACTAGTCTATAGACTCCTATAAGCCACCTGTGTTACTGCAGCTGCTTACACCTGGTCTGGCGCGGGCAGTCCCCCCGTCGGCTTGATTCCCCATCATTCCCTGACCGCTAGTAGAAGTCACATGTATGTGACCCTCATGCCGCAGTCCCCAGGGATTGGCAACATTTTTCCTTCAAAAACCAGATAAATATTTGGGGCTTTGTGAACCATACAGTCTCTGTCACAACTACTCAACTACCACAACTACACAACAACTCTGCACAACTGCACACAGTTGCACACTACTCTGCCATCTAGCATGAAAGCGGATGGAAACCATGGAAGTAAATGAATGGGTGTGGCTGCATTCCAATAAAACTTCATTTGAAAAGCAGGCAGCAGTCTGGATTTGGTCCTCACACAGAGGCCAGGCCCCTCAGCTAGTCCGGGCACTTACAACACTTTCTTGTTTCTTTGTCCCTGATACTCATTTCCCCAGATCTTTCTTTACATTTGCTTTACACGAAGGGTACTTGTTTACATGCCTATCTGGAATCATCTCTTACTATAAATAGATACACTTCTTTCTGGTAAACAAAAATGAAAAAAAGGTCAGTCAACAAACACCGAGCATTTGCAGTGAGTCCAGCTTGGTGGTGGCAGGGGTGACCCGTAAGTGTTTCAGTTCTCTAGAGCTCCTCAGTTCACTTGGAGAAATGGTAGAAATGTATCAAATGCTAATAGTTACTCAAAAGTCAATGGATGGCACGGGTTTAGGCAATTACTAAATGGGAGGTACAAGTAACACATGAAGATTTCAGCCAGGCATGGTGGTGTGCATCTGTAGTTCCAGCTCCTCAGGTTGAGGCAGGAATTTCCCTGGAGCCCAGATGTTCAAGGCTGCAGTGAGCCAGGATCATACCACTGCACTCCAGCCTGGGTGACAGAGCGAGACCCTGTCTCGAAAATAAAAAAAACTACATGTAGGTTTTAATTATAGCACTTAGCACAGTGCATAAAATTACCAACATACATCACAACTTGGTTCAACAGCCAGTATGTAAAGTGAGTGTTGTAGAGGCTGCTCACTGAATCAGGTTAGAGGTTCCAGGTTCATTCACACTCCAGCCATTTC